TTATTTCAAAAGCGTGATATGACATGTCTTGTTATTGTAGCTATTAGAAAACTTTAAAAAAATGAAAACTAAGACGGTAGAACCTTTCATTTCAACGAATTTAACCTTCCGCAACTATAAAATTTCCATCAAAAAAGACCACATTGATTTGCCAGCCGGATAAACACACAAAATGTCCCCTCCGTGACCTGTCCTGAACTCAGAATCGATTGTTTTCACTCATTAAAAACATTTTTACAAATATCCAGCAATATTGTGATACATGGGCCTTATTCTATACATCCTAAAGAAAGTTTTTTTGTATAACTCGTCATCTTAAATAGTCTCAAAACAATTGTACATAAGTAACAAATGTGTCCTTAAATTATGTGAAATTTTACATCATTACAAATATAGTGCCAGTAAACGTGCTAGACAATAATTTTGACCTCTCTAACTATACGAGGGTCATCTTTCAGAACTAAGGTACTCGATTTTTACCCGTAGAGTAATCAAATCTTAGTTGCAGCTTCGCTATAACAATATTTGCACACGAAAATCGTAATAGTAAAATAAAGTGTCCCCTCCGTGATCGACGAGTTTTCGAGCTAGCTCTTTTTGTTTTTGACTCTGGTGGCATAAAAACGTTCGTTTTTACAAACAATTTTTGTGGGTGATCGGAAAAAAAATGTTCAACTTTGTTATCGTCGTGAAATTTGATGAGAGTGCGATTTGTCCCCTCTGTGAATGTCCCCTCCGTGAGAAATTTTCATGTTTGCAATAAGAAATTAAACGGATTAGATGATGGCCGGTAAAAAGTAAATATTCCATGAAAAAACAAAGAATCAAGTGTCAGAAACTACGGGGGTCCGGAAAAATTAAACTCAAAATAGAAGAAAATAAGTTTTTCAATTTTTCCAATATTGCCCATTTTACCCACTCCAAATATCACACTTTTGAAATAATGCACCACACACACATAGATATGAGGCAGCTCAAGGTCAGCGACGTGCAGTACCTGAACCGCAGTCGACCTAGAAAATCTCTGCATGTGCATGCTCATACGTGCTGTGTACTCCCAGAGTTCGCGTGTATTATATTTTAGTGTATCGAGCTTATGAACCAGTGTGCGCATGAAAATTCTTATCGGTCTGTGATTAATTTTGCGCATCGATCGCCCGATCGAGGCTTATATATATTACATGCACCTCGATTGGCTACATTTCGTTCTTCTGCCATCATTTTTACGAATGAATTGCGAGAATGATTCGCCGTACGCGTATTATGCAAGCTTCGAGCGACTCGATGTCGAGGCAGGCAATTACTATGTGGTGCAAATAGTCGCGTTCGGTCACGCAGATACTTTTCTATGGGTGCTTTCGGAGAGAAAGTCGGCTCGCTTTGAAAAATTAAGCCAAGAACAAACGCGGAAAATGACTCCAACTCTGACGTCTTATTGTAAACATGTATTACAACGTGTCGAAACGCTTGTAAAAATGCAATTATGAAATTTCAATAAGAATCGCGGCCTTGTTTAAGCAAAAAAAAAAACTTTATTCTTATTTATTAATCAGCTTAGGTTTTAGATCAAGAGTGCGTAGTACATCTATATTAGAACCGTATGGAAAATCCTTGGCTAAGCCGAGAATGGACTTATTCTACATACGAATCGCATCGTGAAATAAAATCACGTCAGCTTGGAGATTTATTGTGCGCAGATTTATGTTTACTCATCTCGCGCGGAATCATGAGCGCCTTTTCAAAAGCACGCTAAATTTGATCGATAAATATTTTCAACATTCTCTGCTACAAGATGCAGCAGCGGCTGCGAATAAGAGACGCGTTAAAAACTGTTGCAATTATTACGTTTAGCGCCTACTACAAAAGAACATAATAGCCATTAGTTTTTTTTTATTCGAAAACTGAGACAGTGAGTATATAGACACGTCGCGCGCGTTTCTCAATATACTCGCTCCTGCCTGGAAGTGTCGGCGTGCCGTACGCTACGTACACTCTTGACAATAATTATCCATCATCTCAAAAGACACAAGTTTGCGCTCCGTAAATGGAGGTAGCTCGCTTGAGCCGCGCCACAACTCCATTTTCTCCTCGTCGTCGTTGTCGTCGTGTTTTTAGCTCTGATCATTATTATATCGCGTGCATATTTTAAAAAATCTTGCTCTGTTTATATTGTAGTGCATACTTAATAGGAAATACGAGAGCTTAATACGAGAGGTGGCATAGTTGGAATCTCAAGTTAACTTTATACCGAGTCTCGCGTAACTGAGAATAATCATTGTGCGGCAGATTTGGAGAACATTAAATTAAAGCTTGATTATACTACATCGGTGATTGAATCTACTCCATTTTTGCGCACACGCGAGTTTCCCTACATTCTTATAGGCTCGATTCCGAGGCATTTCAACGATTGCAATATGACATAATTATATGCACGGATTTTTCGCTCTTAATCCTCGTCTTGCTAAACAGGCTGCAATTCAGCGAAAAAATTACCTTACAGACATTTTTTGATAAATTCTACCTTGCTGGGCAAAATCCGTTTACTGGGGAAAGATGAAAGTTTGAAATATTTCAGTTGAAGAATAAAAGGAAGCAGCTATATAGTTGCTGCTGCGAGAGACAATAAGCGCGGCGTTTAAGCGACTCGTCGACAACAAACAGTGGCGATGACGAGACTCGCGAAGACGCGACGCGCGACTTATGGCGCTATATGCGTCGTGTACGGATGTTGCATAAGTTGCAGCACATAATATGCATACATTTTCATAAGATGTTAACAATAGGCTGGCGCGAGAGAGGCGAAAAACCCGATGAAATACGTACGTGCAGGATTTTAGATGCAGTCCACGTGGGTGTGCTACGCAGGCTCGCTCCATCGTTTACCCAATGACTAATCGTAACGATTTTTATACATTACACGCTTGATATTATTTTTAGACATCGTGGCGATCCTTGAATCGTCGTACGTGTCAGCGTACCTTGAACAATTGGCGCTGTCGAAACTAAAAATAATAAAATATTTTGCGTGAGAATCTATCGAGCGACCTGTAAGATACGACAACGAACGGATTTTCGAATAAGAGATGATCGGCCGCGCGCCGTCTCATATACACGCGCAAGTTGATTCGGAGCCTGCGAACGCACACGTAGATATGTATATGTTTGCGCAAAATCTTTTACGGAGCCGAGTTGGGTTATTAACTCTTTTCGAATTCACGTGAGCATCGGGGCCTCCGATGCCCGCTTGTCTCGACTCGAGAGCAGCTTGTACATAATGCTGGTGCCGGCTCCCCCTTCGCGACTCCCTGACGTAAACGATGCCTCGAAAAAAATTAAAAAAAATTAGCCAACAAAACCAAGTTCAAAAATAAAACAACGAGTGAATGATACTATACAAGTGTACCTAGAGGTAGGGAGCCTTGACCAGTTTCTCAAACCGCATGAGCGTTACACATTTTTATACCAGGCTCAGGATGCTTTATCCTGTATATGAGCAAAATGTAGTAATCTTTTAAGAAGAGATTTAATCGGAAGATTCAGTGTATTCCCACGCGTAAATTTTTTAATTTCTGAATCTTTCATTAATATTTCGTATACTTTTTCGATGTATTCCATACACTTATCGTTAGCGCTACTGCTATTTATCAACCAAGTTTAACAGTAGGTTGTAAACATATTTATCTATTAACGAAACAAAAGCGATATCATCTCTAGCTCTCTTTCTCTCTCATCGATATATGATCTACTAGCAACATGAAAAAATAATGTCTAACGACACAAATCGTCGTTTTCCCTTCCTTTTCTCGACTTAAAAAGTATAATAAATACGTGTTCACCTTTCGCGGAGATGCATCATTTGACTTGACTCTCTCGCGTGTACTGCACGCTCTAGAAAGTCTCGCGGCAAAATCCGCTTCGGTGTAAAAAAAAGTCATGGGAAGAGCGGTGTATGCGATAAATAATATGTATGCGTGTAGCATCGGTATGCGTGTACATGTGCGAATTAATCATCTACGTATGTACAATATTACGGATATTATACATTTGGCTTAAAATGTCAATACACATTTATAATTTGAAATTTATATTTATACTAAGATGTAGCTTTTTGGGTCGATATTCACCCGTTTACTAAAGTTTTTAAAAACATGATATTCAAATATAAAAGTCTTCAAATAGTCTTTAAAGTGTCAAATAGATTAAAATGTGCCGACCTAATGACAATAATAATAACTCTTGGTAGAAATGCTTTGAAGCGCAAATTTAAAAAAAATGTAAAAACATCGATTGAGTATAAGCACGAAAGAATTTCAATTCGGTTACCTTGATTCCGGATCGATCGAGGACGCGCAAAATCAACTATCAATCCATTGAAAAACACGTATCGAGTCATTGGGCCATCCGTCCACGAGCGATGACGACGTTATTGTTGCACGTCGAGCTAAACATATATTATAATCGTTCTACGATCGACGCTATAGCATTAGAAAATGGACTCATGGGTAGTTGGAGTCTCTCCCACGCTTGGCGCGAATATATGAACTATAAATGCGCGGTCGGCTCGAAGTGGCTGCGTTTGGATCATCGATAAATTTATTTCATATATGAAAGAGATAATCCCGCCTTGTGTGTATAAATGTATGTTGCAAAAATAATGAACAGTTCAATCGGTCCGATGAAGAGAGGAATGGAAAGAAAATTTTTTTAAATGATCGATCATTAAACTGGTTTCTGTAAGCGCAACCGATTGCGTCATATTATATAAACGTCACGAGCGATGTGTGCGCCGAGAATTACATATACACAAGCTCCCGACGCGGTTACGACACGCGACTATCCTGTGGCATTTATACATACACGAGTTTTCTCGGTACATCAGCTGATGAGTTTATAACACGGCACAATAATATCCGAATTCGGCTCGAAAAAAACGTTTACGATGTCTTATCTATAGTATGGCTTGGGCAAATTAAAAAAAAATCCTCATTGAATATTTGCAGGCAAACATCTGGTACTCGTGACGGATCCGGAAATCGTCGAGGAGGCCTACGCGTTCGACAATCCGTGCTTCAAGGACGTGACGCCGGCGACGACGCGAAGTCTACGGCCGCAGAACAACAGCGTTCTGTCATCTCGAACCGAGACGACGACTAATAACGCAACTTCGACGCCCATTTCCAAAGAAGCCACCGGCAAGTGGTCCCTCGGCTCGCCTTGGGCCAACATCGGCAAAGTCATCGATAAACGCCGAACGCTCGACGACTCCGTGATCGGGGTGAGTAATTCGCTGTCCATCGATTTGGTATACAATTGTGAATATAGAACTGAAGGTCGATGCTCGTTTCAGCCGAAGGCAGCCCGAGTGTCGATGGTGAGCCTGCGGAGTCGCGACTTCACGGGTCTCGGCTTCAACGTCTGCGGCAATATGCGCGAGGGCATATTCGTCAAGGACCTGATGCACCGCGGACCTGCCTCGGAGTCCGGTCTCATCAATCCAGGTGAGTTTTTGCCCGAGCGATCTTGGGAGCGAGCGAGCACAGTGCCTTAACCCACGACCTCCAACAGGTGACCAAATAAGCAGCATCAAAATATCCTTCCGCTCGATGGTCTACGAAGATGCCTTGACCATACTGTCGTACGCCTCGCCTTACGAGGTCGAGCTGGAAGTCGAGAGCGGCGTGTCCACGCCCAACTCCAAGCCCACGACTCTGCTGAAAAAGTCGAGCGGCGTCACGCCGACCAATCAGCGCATATGCCATCCTCTCTATCGGAGTCAGTCCATACCCGAATTGTCGCAGCAGTCCTCGGCGCACAGGAAGAAGCGTCTCTTCACCAACGATCTGACCAAGGATTCGACCATCAAGTCCATCAAATCGAATCCGGGTGTTCAAACTTTGGAGCGCAAACACGAAGAGATGAAGAATCACCACCCTAAATTTGGCATTAAGGTGCGTGCTCTTTTTTATCGTTACATGTCTTGCTATACACAGAGTGAATAATTGTAGTGAAAATAACGATCGATTTCTAACGTCACAGGTATTGCCCGCCCTCGACGGCACGATACATCGAGTGGAGACGCAAAACGAGCACAACACGAACCTCGAGCGTCGTCACTCTCGCAAAGCAGAGACGGACGACAACAAGCGTAATTCCCAAGTCAGCAACGGCAAAGATCGGCGCATCGTCACCGAGAGCACTCAGCAAAGGAGCAACTCCAGCGGCAAAAAAGCCGTACACGTCAACGACGGCTTTGGAATCGACGTACCCGATCGAGCCTCCGAAATCGTCAAGGTTGGCATCGTCCTCGACTTCTGGCATAGAATTCGTATCACAACGAACACGATTAAAGTCGCGATTTACCTTTCCACAGGATAACTGTCTGATGATTCCAACGGAAGTGCCAGCCGAGGTTCACAATGCCGCGATGGTGGCTCGTAGAAATCGCAAGAGTTACACGGAGCAGCCAGCAACGAGCAAGAAGTTGTCGGCCGAGCCAACAGCCTCGTCAACACCGGACCGAAGCTCCAAGTCTCGCCGAGACAGCGATTTGGAAGCCAAGAGTCCGAGCAAAGGCAAGCGCAAGGCACCCGCGCCTCCTGCCTCTCGTAACGCTTCGCTCGAAGAAACTACCTCGAGAATCGATAATCCGGAGGACCAAGGCATCGGTGCGTCGACTAACGAAGAGGTAACACAACGATTACAGAATACACCCTTTATGACTCAAATATTATTTGCATCGTATAAATTTATCGCGCCTCGTAACTGAATGTTTGTGGCGTGCTCAGGAAAAAAGGGAGGAAAAAAAGGGCCAAGCAGCGAAGCAGCAGAAGGAGGACACGTTGAAAATGCAGCAAGCCATGCGAAGAGTCCAGGCGCATCGCGTCTCCGAGTCGGACACCGAGACCGAGCTCCAGCAGAGCCTGACCAACATCGAGCTGAAGCCGTCGGAGATCACGATACACCACACACCCGTGCCCGAAGTCAGCAACGAGTCGGACGAGGTCGACGAGGCCGAGCTCTACCGCAAGGCCGCCAGCCTCGGTGATCTGTCGCGCTACGAGGCCAAGGCCAACTCGCAGACCCTCGAGAGGGCCCAGAGCTTGGACATGACGGATCCGTGCTCGAAGAAGCGCAAGGCGCCTCTGCCGCCGCCCGACGACATCAACGAGTCCACGGAGGATCTCACGAAGCTCGATCAGATCGAGCGCAGGAAGCTCAAAAAGTCCAGCGAGTGGGGAACGCTCGAGGACGCTTTCTGGAAGGCCGGCCAGAGCGACCAGTCGAAGCTCGCCAAGGACGAAGAGCAGCCGCCGACCGACTCCCAGGAGACGAGCATCGAATTGTACAATTTACCCCTGAGCACGAGGCTGACGCGCCAGTTCATCGAGGCCGAGAAACAGTTCAACGCCGAGACGGACAATTCGCTGGCGCGTCTGCTGAACGACGGGACCACCGTGAAGGCGCCGCCCGACGAGCGAGTCGAGGCCGAGTTCCGCGAGGCGCATCCACTGCCGCCGGACAACGACCAGGAAGAAATCCTACTGGAGCGCGAGAGCGAGCCAGCGCTGTTGGCGAGAGCCTGCAGCGGCGGCAACGATTCGCCAAGCGGTCCGGACTTCAAGAGCGCCGTCGACTTCTTCGAGGAGAGCTCGGCAAATACGCGCAAATACGAGACGAAGCTCAGCCTCGCCGCCGAGCAGCCCGAGGATCTCTACGGCGAGCTCGAGGAGGTGCACGAGGAGCCGATCGTCAAAGTCACGCAGCTCGTCGAGCCGTGTCCCGGCTGCGAGCGCAGACACGAGAGCCACAGCGGCATCTGCGCGCTCGCCAAGGACTCGACCAACGACACCGCCGACCCATCGTCCTATCGCCAAACGATAAGGCTGCAGAAGCAGGACGGCCTCGAGGAGAAGGAGGCGACGCTCGGCCAGCACGACGCGTCCGCCATGGAGAGGTTCGAGACGCACTACGCCAAGCCGATCATGCACGACTTCGGCAGCGACGACGAGGAGCCGGATCGAGGCCAAGAGGAGAAGCTCGACGGCTCCTCGTGCACGGTCACGATCAACAGCGAAAAGCTCGACGACCGGGCCAACGTCAGTAACGTGAGTGTGTCCTCGTTGTCCGTTGACCTGGGCAGCGAGTCCGGGCCAGAAACGGGCCCGGCTCAAAAAAAGCAGCTCACCTACGTCACGGAGATCAAGGTGATGCCGCAACGAGCCAAGGATCAAGAGGTCCTCGAGCTCAACGAGCAATCGCTCGACAACCAAGAGATCGTCTCCTTTCTGGAGAATCGTAAGGAGCCGCGACCGACTTCCAACGGCAAATTGCCGCTGGGCCAGAAGCCCCCTGTACCCCCGAGGCGCTCCGATGCCCCCAGGTACGTGCCCACGACGAGGAACGACGAGAGACAAGTCGTTTACGTCTCGGAATACAGATCGCCCGCCAAAGACGAAAGCCGCGTCATCTCCAAGGATAGTTCCAAGGAGATCGAGATCAATCCTTGGTCGAACGGCGCCAGTCAGCCGCAGACCGTGACAAACATCGTACTCTCGACGTCGACCGAAGATCAGATCATCAACAAGTGAAAAGAAAAGTCCCACTAGTTACGCACATATTTCTAAGCCTTTTTAAATTCCGTATACCCTAAACTTGGCTCATTTTAAAAGAGTAATTGATTTGATCGATAAATATTTTCTTGGGAAAATTAAATCAATTTAATCGACAATATATGTAATAATGAATCAATAATAGAAACATGATTGCAATCAATTCGTTGCAAACCGTATAGTTGTTTTAGCGTAAAATAACTCGACGCGATTCTTCAATTTACTAAAACTTCAAGTAATTTTTACAACCTTTTTTTAGTAATGTTGTTGTTTTATCTAATAATTTAACATAAAATAACGTTAATTTTTTTGTTGATGAAACGGTATGTTATAAGGTGTCTGTGCCATATAAGGGTAAAGTTGGAAAAGAATAATCTTGTAACTTTTATTGTTATAACAAGATGAAAGACATTCTATAACTTAAACTCTCTGGTATGCATGAAAGAAATATTACATAATGGTATGTACAAATTTCACGATTTAGTAAATTCAGGACAGAGTGTAATTACATGTTAAATAGTAACTACTTTTAATTATTTTTAGTTTATACCATTATACACTTAAAAATCATCAAATGAAGACCTTTCATTGCATCAAAAACAATGTGTACAATATATGAAGGTTGCCGGAATTTTCTTATTGAAATAATTTATGATTTATTTTATAATAAAGAGAAATTTATAATGCAAATTTCAATTTTTATTGAGAGATAGAATAGTTACTAATTTATAGAATTCATTTACTGGCACTGGCCATGTATAAAAATAATTTATGATGTATAAAATATTAGAATTATTTAGAAGATTGTATAAATATAAATATATTAACAAGTATACACCAATTCGCTCCCAATTTAAAAATTTTAATAAAAATTGTGTTAAAAAACATAAATGGAAAGTAAATAGCATGGATTTATAAAAATATTTAGAAATTTATTCAAATGTATTCATAGTAATAATATGGATAAATGAAAAATGTCTCGAAGAATAAAAACCCTAAAAGAATTACAGACAAATAAAATCAAAGACAAAAATTTTGTAAAATAATCTATAAAGAATTCATTTTGTATCAAGTACCTTGAACTATGTTATAGTTATTTAACATGCTTATGCATTTCATCATATCAATGCAGTCATTTTTAATCAATATTTCCTAAATTTTTATAGAATCTACTTTTATATAATATTTCACATTAGAGTTTCTTATCCTGGTGCTTGTAAATGAATTTTACTTATAAAAAATTTAAGGATATTCAATACAAATAAAAAAAATTAATATTGTACATATAGCTTTATTTAAGTCAATAAAAGAAAAATACATGAATGATTAAACATTAAATTCATATTTTTTACTTTTGTATGCCATTATATATCTTGAAATTAGATAATATGACTAAATTTTACATCATTTTATTTAGGTTTTTGTTAAACGTTTATTTACACAATAAATATCAATTATCATTGAATCATTTAAGATATCTCTTAAATCTACAATTATGATACATCTCAAGGCTTTTTTGATTTTTGGGCCAATTTTTTTTTACATGATTATATACAAATGGTACAACTAATGAAACTTCCAAAAAAAACTAGAATCTTAATACATAGCAGAATAGATTAATTGAATGCTGAGGACACAAAGCTCTTATTCATCAGATAAAAGTTAAATTTTACATAAATGTTGGTATGTTAAGAAGTAATATAAGTTTTTTCTTATATTTACTATGAAGAAAGAAGTTTCAAGAAATATTGAATTAATAATCCTAAAGTATACAAATAATACATTACATTTAAGTTGCTGATTGGCGATAGTTTTTTGTACTCATCAGTTTTTTACCACACATGGCACATATTGCTTTTTTGTAAGCACAAGATTGACAATAATGTGATCCTGGCTGATGAACCTTCTGCCTACATATTTTGCATGTTTCAAATTTGGATGTGTAAGGATTAAATCTGGCTTTGCTGGCTGCTGATAGAGCCTTGTTTTCTCCTACTTTACGGCCACCACCTTCTGTAGTATTACGGGCTCCTACTTTCCAAGGATCTGGAGTAATGACCTTACCTAATTTTTTTTCACACTTTTCACAAACCATTTTGGTTTTCCTGGAAAAATAATTTCTCTTAAATATAAAAAGATCTGGAATTTATATAAAATGTGAAGGAATTTAAAAATAAAATTTAGATTAGAAATGTTAACGATAAAAAGATGGCAGCATAAAATGAAAACATAAAAATTATTTTATGTAAAACGTATTTATAAGAAGTTTATTTACATGTAAAACGTAAAAAGCAGTTTGTAAATGAGGTTATGTATACGATATTCCTACTTACGTTTATGAGTTAAGATTTATGAGTTTTACAAAACAAGTAAAATGTTTGAATTTTTTTCACTGTAAAACTTTTCACTTTAGTGTACAATATTTCAGTTTTGACATTTGAACTATTAACTGCACAACAAAGTGTCGACTGTCACAACAAAGAAAAGGTGATGAGTGCAGAGTGCAGACTCAGCAGAGCAGAGCAGTCAGCAGACTGGCGAGTGACTGCCTGGTGGCGAACGTTCCGGTACACCAAATGATAAGCACGCAGTCGCACAAGTATCATCTATTTTGGCGCTACATATGAATAATGAACACTAGTCAGTTCGAACTGACGTTCTTTTTTATGTAATCGACAAATTATGATCATTTTTATCAAAATGTGTTTTATCAATAGTACCTATTCACTTCTATGTATAATTTTGTATTAATTATAGTATGGTAATTGTGTCCACAATTATATGAATAAATGAAAAATGTTAATCTAATTGTATTATTGCGGTTGCCGAAAATTATTTCAAAAATACAAACTGAAACTGGGGAGAGTTTGAAGGCTAGCTCGTGTACTTAATTAAAATAGAAATTGAAAAATTAAACTAGAATAGTTTAGAAATGTATGATAAAATGATCATGCTTTATTTATTAAATTAAATTATAATAAATATAATCAAGGTTATCGAATAATTATTTTTTAGATATTTGTTCGGTCTCAAACTAAAGTCCAAGTACATTTCATTATTAAAAATATTTCATAGAGAAAAGACTATTTCGAGAGCTATAACAAAATTTGATGCTTGTCGAGGCGGAAAAAGTCTTTGTTAGACTGATAATTAAATGGTATCAATTGTCAAATGATGGTAAAAATGTGTCTTTCCTTAAGATCAATCATCACTTTTGCCCGACTGATTCAACTGCACCGAATTAAAATCGCTGGCGTCTCGGCAAACTTGCTCGCCCCGATCGCAAAGCAGCCCGGGTCCGCATGGGCAGAACTGCATGTAAATCTCGTCCAATTGTATGGAAGTGCCGTCTGGATAGTAGCGATCGCCGCTCGTCGTCAGTGGTCCGCCCGGCCGACAAAAATCTCCCAGATCTTGGAACTTCTGGCATCTGGGATAGCTGTAACGCTCGTGAGCTTTGCGGAAAAACAAAAGAACGAATGAGCTGCTCGATCGGCTTATACTCCTCCTTAGCATATCAAGTCGAGCTGCGAGACTTACAAATTGTGCAGCAGTAGCCGGGCGCGCAATCGACGTTGCTCGTGCACTCGATCTCGTCGGCCAATAATCCGGTCTGCTCGTGGAGGGTTGCGGCGTTCACCGCGCCGACCAGCAGCAGCAGACTCAAGCTGAATTTAATCCGTGCGGCTAGCATCGTGGCTGTGAAAAATAAACGCCAAGAATCGGCAACTTTTTAATTGGCACAGTCTCCGTTTTTGCATGAATTTTGCAGATTTACTGCGCAGTACAGTCGAAACTCGAGACAAAAAAGTTCGTACGCGCGAGAACATGCGAGCAACAGTCCGAGAAAAAGTCATCGATAAAAATCTATAATTGCCGTGCAATTATACTTGTAAACGTCGAGCCATGCATCGAGGCACTTTAGCGTCGCGTTCAAAATGTCATTATCAATTCTCGCATACGTACATATATCCCTTATATAATTGTGAATCTTTGCACAGGAGATTTTCGATGAAAATTTTTGCCGCGCGCCAAGCTCACCTTGTCCAAACAAAAGAATTCAAGTAAATCGTGTCTCGGATCGGTATCTCGTTGCAATGATTTTCATGCCACAATTTACCTCGTGTCGTCATTTTTCTCGGCAAGTCCAGATTCCTATAGTGAGCACGTTTATTCAAAGCAACATTGCATTGTTATTATTTTTCCGCAAATTGAAAAGAATAAATGTAAACAGGCGTAAATCGGAGCTGTAGCCTTGATCAACCTTCGCGCAGATTTTTTTTATTTTTTCTCGCTCGAATATAACGTTTTGGTATATCGTAATTAACTAAAAATAAATTCCAGTTCATAGTTTTTTCAATGTCCCCACGACAAAAAGGAATACGTTATTTTTACCCGTTACTTGTTGTATGATAGTGGCGGAGCAAAAAAGAAACAAGCAGTTCGTATTTTGATAGAAAATTACTCAAAATTCTGATTGTATCGAATTAAATAGCACCGAGCCAAATCGTTAAAACTGCTGACTTAGTTTATCATTGGAAGTTTAGAATTAATAAAAAATAAAAATAAATATAAAAATAATAATGAGTCACATTTGAAAAACATACAAACCTCGAATTCTGGCGAAGCGGAAAAAAATTGAAGCACTAGTGATGAAAATGAACCTTGTAAAACACTTTGCCTCGTTTTGAACGCGCTTTAATTTGAGCGTCCGATCAGTTAAAGCCGATTCTGTAAACTGTGTCCGTATCGCTCATCTCGGCCTAGTCTTATATATGCGTGACTTTTATATATTGCACATATATCGTGCGTTAGTGTACACATGCACCCATTAGTTCGCTCGGCGGCTTATTAAACGCTGCGAAATGTAAATAAGCCTGAACCTTACGTTTTATCTGTTTTTTAATTATTGAGTTTAATGTGGATTTTTTTTATCAACTCGTCTATCGTTGCCGTTCCTTGAACGGTAATTCGATGGTTTGTGCATCACATTTTCAATGTCGTTCAAAAAGTATACATTTTTTTTTTGTCATAACGCTCAGCTTTGTTTGTAATAAACTTGCTGCACTCATACATATCAAAATAAGGCGATCGAAGGATATGGAAAAAAATGTGAGCACATGAGTGTGTGTGTGTGTGTGCGTGCGCGAGAAAGAATGCACCGATGACTAATTTGAACTTGTAGCGTGAGACAACGATGTTTATCATAATATCGGTTTTTACCTACATTTATATTGACGAATTTCCCTGGAAATGAAAGTGACGCAAAAAATTTTCTGCCGGAGTTTGAACGCGTTACATCATTCGAGAGCGCTTGATAGAATTAAATATGTGTTGGTGACAATGACCAACAAATTGTTTACACAAGCGATTTTTTCATGTCTGATAAGGGGCGCAGGGGAAAATTTGCATTAATACTTTACAGTGTTTACGTTGCGTTTTACGCAGGTTTACTTTATCGAGGCATGATTTATTGCGTAAAATGTTTGAATGAAGGAAAGATTGAGTTCCGAGCACTGAAAATTTATTAACAGCTTTTTGAATAGAATATAAAATTGTTCCAATTATCCTTCAATCTTTTAGTATTCAAAGATATTGCTGGCATTCATTGAGACAGAATGCCGTGGACCACTGGGAGAGTTTTCCTAAAAGTTTTACATTTCAATTACATTTTTAAGATATTGTTCGACGCCAATTTGGAAAATAATTTTTTATAGTTTAATTAAATTATATTTACCGGTACATTGATTTTCACATTTCATTTTTATATTTCTGTAAAGCTCCGTTGTCGTTGGTATGTGACTCTGCTGATACGCTCGATCAAGAGGAGATTGAAACATGTCTGGCAAAAATATCATCTTAATAGTATTTTATGTGGCTGAAATAAATACTTTACTTTACCTTGGCCTAGAACTATAACTGTACTTGAAACTGCAATAGTAACTAAACACAAGAGCGTTACCATCGTTTTATTATTCATGATTATAGTTGGCGTGAAATTTGGGAAGACAGTACCAGTGTCTTTCTCACTTGTTGATCATTCAAGAACTAACTTAACGGATGCTGACATTGCGTTGCAACACAAGATCGACAAAAAAAATTAGACTGACCGAGATAAGAAGTGTTCGGAAATCCATATACTCATCGAGACGCAATACAATGTTTTTATAAAAGGCCTCATAGGATTTGGTGAGGGCAAAAATTTAAATAATAGCCAAGGATTGCGGTAAAAATAATTTTAATTTTTAATAGTCATTTTTACACTTGCATACTGAATTCATAAAAGCGTGTGATGGTTATTTTTTGAGACCTTATTTATACTAATATTGGTTGTTATATTACATAATATTATTATCGAATTGAAGATAAATACATTACACCTCGATCCACTCTTGCATTATTATAGATGAATAGATTAAGTGTTTTATTTTAAAAATTGTACCTTTGATAAAATAAGTATGAGAAATCACAAATAATGTGATAATAATGTCTACGAATGTTTTTTACATCTATGATATAATTGTTCGCAGGCTATAAAATTTATCCGACTTTAAAAATGTTCTATGCTTAAGTTAAAGCAGTTACTTGATTTGGAAAGTGTGATGCATATATTCTAGGAAATTAAGTATGATTATAATTCAATACATTTCTTAATTTCAAGAAAGTAATTCGCAACTTAGTGTTCACTAAATACTAGAAATTCATTATGATTTAATTACCAATTTCTTGAAGCTGCGTTATCTTTTCTTTTCATGGCTTACTTTAATAAATATTAGTTCAATAATTATCGTTTATAAATGTTATAAGTGTTATTTGATATATTTTTACAATTAGGCTTTTCTATAAAGTCAATAAATTCATCAATGCATTTTCAAGCGAATTCGTCCTCGCGAGTGACTTTTCAAACTTTGTAAGATTACAACAATAAAACACATATATTGAATACAATAAATTTTTCCCGTTAAATAAAAATCAAAAATATAAAAATTTAATTGTGCGCAAGTTATAAATAAAAAAATTATGTCGGTCCGATCAACGGATGAAAATTAAAACAAGAACGATCAGAAAAAACAGCTCTAAACTACGAAGAATACTCATTTAGACCTCAGCCCCCATTAGACCTCGCATATTTAAATTTTCAAGGCACTGTAGGTAACTCGACTTCAAATTCGTTTCAAAGTTTTGATTGTTTTTGAGTACCTTTGCGTGGTACATTAGTGTAATATTTAGCAAGAGGATAGAGTGTTTGACTCGTCTTAAATGACAGTATATCAACTATGGGTTTTGCTTTCACAGGATTTGGCGAGTCCAACGATCTAGTGTTATCAGGATCATCAGATGAATAGGTGGGTGAATTACCATCAGCGGTCGACAAAACGTGAATGCTCATCTTCTGTATGTGTTCTGATTCACACCATACATAAGTCTGAAGTAGATTCAAGAAAAGTTTTAATATAAATACTATATTTAAAATAGAAATCAAATTTACAATTATAAGAACTTACATTATAAAAATCAATAATTTGCTGTTTTGTAAGAGTTCTCAGATAAGCAACTTCAATGTTCATTCGATCAAAATTATACTGTTGGGTGCCAATTTCATTCCAGTAGATAGAAGTTTGAGAACTCATTACTTTTGGCTTTTCCAAGCGACGCGTGGCTAATGATTCTACATGCTTAGAAAATTCTTCATCTTTCATATCTATCAATAATTTCTGCAAATAATAAAATGTATTCAAAATTTTGTAAATTAAAGTTATAATAAATTTTAATTTAAAAATCGTGTTTATAAACCTTTATATCAGTAATAAAATCCTCAATCTTGTCATCAACGTATTGTGGATGCCTATTGCTTTGTACAATGCATCTTAAACCCTGTACACCACTTGTACGTCTAACACCGCTGAATACAATATATCCAAGTTGTTGCTCATTTCTTAACTTATTAAAACATGGCTCCGAAATAATTTGAGCTAAAAGTTCCAATTTCATATTTGACTCTGTTGTTTGAAGTCCAGTTTGCCAGAAAATTTGGGTACAAGAACTTTTATGATGCTTATTATTGATTTCATAAACATAATGAGAACCATTTGGAAGTTTTATTTCGCGATATAAAACCATTTGTCTTGGTAAAAGAGGAGTCAAATCAGGCAGGTTGGATATTATCTTATTTTCGACTATTTTTCCCATTCGCAAAGCTTCATCTCTGGTGAAATTACCATGAATAAGAGACTCTATATGCATTTTACTCATTAATAATGGAGCAAACTGCCGCACCCGTTCATAAGTAAGCACTGAAAAAATGTGTGTTTTTACTCTTTTTTAATAAAATGTAAAATTATATAAAAGTAAAATGTCTTACAAGGGGTAGCATTTAGCAACTCATTTTTCACCCATACTTGCTCTGACAATAATACTGCTAAATAATAAGCTACATGTTGATAAGGTTGTTCAGCTTCAAAGTTTTTCAAATTTCTTATATACTGTAAAATAAAAGGTATAGTTTTAGCAGTCTAATAGGACATTTTTATAATCCAAAAATCAATATTACGTTTTCTTTCAATATTTCAAATCGCTCTTCTTCATAGTCAAAATTCATCAAACGTTCCATGACCTTTTCCAGTAGTACATCCAATTTGTGATCGTATCCGGACATAACCAACTATAAATCGAAAAGCACTTAGTATTTTTTGAAAGAAATTATACAACATTTTTACGTATAATATTTACATTCATTCCATATTTACTATTACTCAACTCCCATTTAATACCAGCTAAATCAGCATTGTAAGCATATTCATTAAGGGAATCACGGAAGAGTTGCACAAACATATATGTCATGTTGCTGTTCAAGGGATCCATGTATGCTAATGGACTATAATTAGAAATAATTATTATAAAGTATTCTTTAATAAAACAGTTTTATCGTATAATTTTTTTACTCAATTACCTGACAAAATCAAACGTCATAACAGCTTTTGGTAGTAAAAACTCATCATCTTTTTTATACCACAGTCTTATGTATGGTGTATCTTCAATAATAACTGGGAATTTTTCGAGCTATACAGATTTTAAAAAATTGATTAATAGTGTTTAAATTCTTCTTGTTCAATTCAAAATTATAATAATTACCTGTCCCATTGGTTTGATTGCGAAATTACTTGGAATAAATTCGTTTTTCTCTGGCATTGCTAAAGCCTTATTAAGTTCAACTTTACTCCATTTTTGTATCGTTTCTTCGGGAATTTTTTCCATCTTATACTTGGTACCATATAAAGGTTCAACGCTATCAACAATAGATTCAAAATGTTTACTAATAATTGAAACTCGAACTTTCTCAGGTACAAAGTATTTAGCCAAGTCTTTAATAAGATCTGGTCGCCATTCATTTATTAATCGAGGTCCTGTTAGGACTTCTTCAATGGGGTACTCTGAGAGCGCTGAAACAGTTATTTTGACCCAATTACGCGGCTGTGACTTTTCTTTAAATCGGAAATTCAAATTGGCTATGTCTCTGTATTCCTGTAACACCAATGGAAAAATGTTTGTAAAAATGTACAAGGATATACTTTTAAAAATCAATAATAAACTCACATTATAAACCCATTCAATAGGACCTTCTTCATTGATCATTTTAATATATTGGAATATCATAGTTATGATATCGTCAGTGTGATGGATGCCCTTTTCAGTGAGATCAACAAAGACACTGAAAAAATCAAAGCCTCGCGCAGATGATCTTTTGCCAGCCATGAGCGAACTACACCACCCTTTTTCCCTCAGAGCTGATAGCAATGATCCTTTACCTTCATGACCAAGCAAATGCGACCAATAATGTAAAGGCTGAAATAAAAATAGTTATTACATTTCAAAAGAAAGAATTAAATATAATAACAATATTAACATAATAGTAATAATAATAATAATAATAATAATAATAATAATAATATTAATAAATCTGTACCGATGATCGGAAGTGTTCTTGTAAATCAGGAATAGGGAAAGTGACACTGAGATTTCTAATATCTTTCACTGGAACAGCAGACCATTTATGTTTGAAATGTTCTTCGGTAAATGGATGTTCGGGCCATCTGGGAAGTTCAATATCTTTATTCGGAACATCAGAGAACATACTCATGATCATTGTTTCCAATTCATCTAAGGTCTCTGCGAATAAAAGTATTTTTTGTTAATAAAAAAATTATTAGTATAATTTCATGAAAACTCTTACCTTTGCCAAGAACACTGAGTGCCATAATATTAGCAGAATAATATTTGCTATGAAAGTCTAGCAATGCCTGTCTTATATCTATATTTTTTTCTTTTGGATTTATTTGCAATGTTTCCCTATTACCTGTACCAAATCTACAGTATACATGATTTGGATTAGCTGAAGATTTATCCAGTTGATCTAATCTCCAAGTGTCACTAGCTAAATTTTTTTCATGTTCTAAATGAACAGCAGTGATTTCTTTTTCTGTTACTGACTCTGTAAAGAGTGGAGATACAAAAAATTGTGAAAATCTATCCAGAGAACCTTCAAGATATTCTGGATCCACATCAAAGTAATAATTTGTGTGATCCATGTACGTAGAAGCATTACTGGCTCCTCCATGATATGATAAATATTGATTGTATTCATTGACATTTGGATATTTTGTGGTGCCAAGAAAAAGCATATGCTCACAGAAGTGAGCTAGTCCAGGAATATCTTTTGGATCATTTAAGAAACCTAAAAAACAGAGCATATTATTCAGATTTTGTTTTTAATAAGAAAATAAAAACATCCATGGTACTCACCAACACCAACATTCAAAGAAGCAGCACTCTTATCAGTTTCCTTATCAGATATCAGAAGTACCTTCATTTTATTATTTAATATCAATGCTCTGTAATCTCTTTTGTCATTTTGTGGTTTGACAATATTGTCATAACGCACTGGTTCAATTTTTTCAACTCCAGAGTTTGTTCCAGCCATATCAGTGGTTAGAGGTCTAGACATAATTAAAGTTACAAAGATATTAACCACAAATGAAATGCATTTTTTTAAATATATTGAAAAATATGAATTTAACTAAAAAGCTAAATAAAAAATAAGAAATTGAAATAAAGGTAATAAATTATTACTAAAATGTACAATCTCTTATGCTGTATAGTGTATCATAATGATAGCAGTAGCTAACGATATTATCATAGTATTCTAAGGACTTGAAGAAATTTAAACGATTATAACAATTTATAATCTTTAAAGCACATAAACTAAAAAGTATGCATATCAAGTTTTATGACTGATATGTGAAGTAGCATGCAAAAAATCAAATTTATCTTACGCTGAAGAAGAATCTGCAGATTCCGAAGCTTCTGTACTATGTTGCAATGACATGATTATTAACCGTTTGTTATTGAGTTTTTATTTCAACAGTACGTAGATTTCGTGAATGAGTTTACGATTTTACTACAAACGCTGACTCGCTTGCAATTAATGTCCGATGTTCTCGAGAACAATGAGGCAAAGAGAGTTTTGAATTGTTTGGATGGATATGTAGACAAAAAGCCGCAAGTCTTATCACGAATCCAGTGACAAAAACAGATAAAAACTCGAGTTTATTTTTCTCGAATGAAAAAAAGAATGAACCAGTGTTGGCAGTGGGAGAATATGGAGTAAGGTTATATTGTTTATGTACGAGGCATTTAAATGACGGAATACTGTACAGGTTCAAGTATCTCGTTTGCAATGTCACAAATAAGCAGTGATTTATGTTTAGTAATAGCACGTACAAAACACACTAGTATACGTTCAACATCGCTTCCGTCGAAACAAACAATAAGAGAAGGGAAGGAGAGAGCACAATAACAATTGGCCAAGCACCTGGTGTTGTCAATTTTGAGCGTGCCGATACGGACTGCAATTATTTGCAAAATGCAAAAAAAGGCAACGAGTCACGCTCTCTTTTTTCACAGTTACGCGTTCGTATTGTGTAGGGAAAAATGTTTAGTTTTCAAGGAAAAAAGATTGTCAAAGTTACGCGTTATGTCTTAGAAGTGAAAAATCGACTTGAGTTGCTCACCTCACAAAAATGAGTGACTGATGTGGTTGAACGACTGTGAAACGTACGCGTAGCAGACGCGTAGCAAACATTAGCGAAAGTTTTACGGTTGCGATACTTTCTCAATTTGATGAGGAATATATTTTGATACTCTAAAAAAAATGCCTAAATTCTAGAGATGTATTATTTAAGAATCTTGATAGAATTATCAAATAGCAGAAGCACAAGATCGATGGTGTTGCGTGAATTCATCTATCCATAGTCTATCTATAGTTAAATTGCAGCAAGAGCCTCATGCAAGTGGCTCTTTAAATTTTTGGACAACATAGACATGAGTCGGTCAAGTAACTCAACGAATTTTTTTTTTCATTTATTCAAACTTTTAAGTGTATTTTTATTAATAGAATAAAAAGAAATTCCATATCTCGAAAAACTATTGTTCAGATTAATTTGTTCAGTATAGTCAAGTTGTTTCTTAATTGGCTTTTAATCAAAACAAGTTTAAACACTAATGGAATCCAATGCAGTTGCTGAGAATAAAAATAATATCGTTATAAGGGGAATTGACCAGTCTTGGTCTGTTAAGATTATATCAGATGAAAAAAATCTTTGAATAGAATCAATTTTTCAATTTTTTCAATTAAAATTCTGGTTCATTGCAAAGAAATAAATCATTCGGAAAAAATTTTCGAGGCTGACGAGATTCGTTTTTTAACAAAATTCATCTGTACTTGTAAAAATAATAATTTTGCCACGATATTAGGTTTAATTAAATAGCGGTGTTTGCAGATATTGTATATAGACGTACCCTGCGTATAACTTAATACAAAAAAGAGGCAAAATACCCAATATACAATTTTTAAAGAACACTTTTCTGTAAACTTAACCGATGATTATCTATCAGCTAGCTTATATTGTGAATTGTAATTTATTAAATTAATAGGTTTCATTAAAGCAGAAAATACATGAGGAATGATTTTAATAGTATTCAAACTTTCATTGCAGCTCCCATCTTTAACACGTTTCGAGAGGGTCGGAAACCTCTTATACATGTACCTATATACATATATATATATATATACATAATGTATATATATATATATACATTATGTATACTACGTTAGAAATACGTGTATGCTCTCCGATATATACAAAACAAATATAAGAGTACAGTTTACAGTTACCGTGGTTCGGAAACAAGTGGCTTTTCATACGAAAATATGGCCCTTTTATGTTGTAACTTCTAATTAAATTAAAATTGCTGCAATCTTAGTTTGAAATTAACTTTCTTATAAATGAGTGAATGTTACAATTTATTGAATTGACGGTTGCTGAAGACGAAAAGTGTGTGTATAAAAACAATAAACAACACAAATAAATGTGTTCATGATAGATCAACGACCGGAGTTTACTGACATTTATCAATTTTTGTTCTAACCGACAAAAACAAATTTTTATATCCGTATTTATTTAATCATCATTGATTACAATTACAAATGTTTAATTAATTATATTACAACGGAGCAAGAAATAAATTTACAACTTACGTACACATAAGTATGTACAATTTATTGTTTCATTACTTCATTGCTTCTTTTTCTATTTCTCTTGAGCTGTTCGATCGAAGAATATATTTAATGGTTGCGGTAGTCCGTAACTCGTTGAGAAATTTATTAACCATTCGCTTTATTTCTAGCTCACATCAATTGCAAAAATGACGGAAAAGTTTTTGATAGAGCAACAATTGAATACAAAAAAATCATCGCTTTTCATGCAACGTCCATCGGAGAGTTCCATGAAAAGTACCGAAAAGTCTCGTATATTTAAAATGAAAGGAAATGAATTTTACAGCAAAAAAACGATTGATGTGAAAACATTTGATCTGATTATTAGATTATATAACAAAAGCATTTGTTTAGCACCATTGAATTCAGAGTGCTTGAGTGAAGCTTATGGAAACAGATCAGCATTATACTTTCGTTTGAAACGATATCCAGAATGTATATTAGACATAAGTAGAGCACTTGCATGCTCTAATTTAACTCTCGCTCGCAGAGCTAAACTTCTAATTCGAAAAGCAGAAAGTCACATAGTCCTGCAAGACAAAGCAAATGCTCAGATAGCTCTGCATGATATTAAAGAATTAATACCACAAATTTCAAAAGAAATGGAAAAAAAGAATAGTGAATCAGTATTTGCCAGTATAAAAGAAATTGAAAAAGCATTATCAATACTTACAGATAAAAAAGTGATTCCTTATGATATATGCTCAGATCTTCATGAAGATCATCTAAAAATGCTGAGTAAAAAAGAAAAAGAAAGTCCTAATTCAAGTGTTATTGTGAAAACCAATGAAAATGAGCAAAGTTATTTAGTTACTAGAAATGATGTGATGGCAGGAGATATTATTTATGTTGATAAACCCTTCTGTGGATTTTTGAATATTTATGATAGTAATATTTATTGCGGACATTGTTTTAAAGAAGCATACAATTCAATACCATGCGATTTTTGTTCGTGGTGTTCATTTTGTTCAGAAAAATGCAAAACTGTAGCTTGGACAAATTATCATGATCTTGAATGTAGAATCATATCTCATAGTACAGAAGATAATACACTATCTCAAACAGATTATTTAGCTTTGAGATCCTTAATATTAGGAATAAAAAAATCTGGTAGTATTAATAATTTTAAAAATGATCTCATGCATGCTGATGAATCGACAGGTAAAAATAAAAATATATAATTTGTAACTAAGTGTGAGCATTAATTAATTTTTATATTTTAGAACAAGTAGAAAATGGAGGCTTCAATCCAAATGGAAAAAGTAAATTTCCTAAATGGAAAAATCAAACATTCAAAAGCGTATATACATTACCTCTTACACGCAAAATAACAAATAGTGAGCTACAGGAAATCGCTATTCCTACAACAGTAATGCTAATGTCTTTATGCAAGTATACAGATTTATTTGGAAATAGTATTAAAAGTACAAATGATATAAAAAACAATGAAGAAATTATGCTCATTGGAACGATACTGTTCAAGCTAAGAAGGAGATTAATTTCAAATTCACATTTTGTAAGTTTCAAGCTTTCTTTTTTCATTTATTTGAATTTAAAATTCATATTTTTTATTGTAGCTGACATTTGAACTAAAGACCTGCAGAAATGAACTTGCAGTAGGAACTTGCAAATTGAAAAATTGTTGCTTCAAGTTAGAATTTATATCTTCTTTAAGTGCTTTACTACCTCACAGTTGCTACCCGAATGCAAAAATATGTGCTGTTGATAATGAAAGATTTATTCTTTATGCATTGCGGCCTATTCCAAAAGAAAATCAGGTTTCTATTTTTGAATAAATATTCTTAAAGAAAGAACTTTTTAGATCAATTGAATGAAATAAATTTTTCAGATATATGTATCAAAAGGACAATTATTTTATGAAATGCAAAAAGCTTTTCGAGTTCCTGCACTAAGACAAACATTACGTTACAAATGTAAATGTCAAGCCTGCAATGAAAATTGGCCAAATCTGACTGAACTGTATAAGATGCCAATGGTAAGATATGATATAAAATTTATTCACTTGAAAGTAATATTTTATTTTCATTTTTATTAGGAAAATCCCATTGGCTATATGAAGAATTACAGTCAGAAGGAAAGCAGCCTTTTTGATGAATTCAAAAGTCTATTAGACCCTATTTTAAAGTGCCAAATTGTTGGTGGCTGTGAAGAAAAAATTTTAAAAAAATTGTCATATGCTATGAAAAAAGCAACAGACAATTTGACACCTCCGTCTGTTGTGTTGTGTGAATTAATGATGAGTATAGCTATTTACTATGAAACTGCTTTCAGATATAGCACAGGCTATATTTATAGAAAACCTCCTTCTAAAAAGCCTACTATTGCAGTTAGCAAGAGTGATCTACAGTAACTAAGTATCAGTAACATTGTTTTTAAAATTTTTTGTAGACACAGTTAATAAAACATCATAAAATAATATATTGGATAAATATGAGTGAAACAGATCAGACTTGCTAAGCAAATATATTGTGCCTTGTTAAAATTCAATATTATTCCATCAAAATTATATTTTATTACTTATTTAGATAAATTATAATATACACAAAATATTTAACAAAAAATTTGAATTGAATATTTGAATTTAATTTTTGTAGCTCATTGATTCCTCATTGAAGTTAATTGTGCATTAAATCAAGACCCTATTCATTAAGTAAAGTTAATTATTGTGAAAGTGGAAATAGTCATTATACTTTTTTACGCATATTTTTAAATTGTTAATAAACACCATTTAAAATTTTATATGTAGTTAATTTATTATGGCTACTATTTGATTAATCGGTATTTATTGAAATTAATTGTATATACCAAATTATTTATAAGCCTTCATAATTCAAAATTGTTTTTTAAATGACAAGAAAAGTTTCTTCTGATTCAGGAATTTAGAAAATGTTTATAGCGATTCTCCATGAAATTGAAGGTCCGAAAAAATTTTATTAGAATTTTCGGGACCGTCACCTTTTTTCAGAGTTTTTTTAAACTTGACTTTTTCCGAAATTTATGATTATAGCTAATATTATTAAAATAAATTCTACCTCAATATAGATTGACTCAAACAAAAAAGTGAAAGAGAGCTTTTTTATTGGAAATTGTTCAAATTTGTAGAAAAACAATATTTCAAAGTAATTTGAGCATTCCAGAGGCTTGTACACGATAGAAAAAGATGGAAAAAAAGAAAACTCAAAATCTAATCGAGTCTGATCCAGACTTTCATTTCCAAAAAAGTATGTTAGATACTACCTGCTTATTTAAAATCGCTAATAAATAGCCTCGACCAAAGAAGATAAAAGCAAATAAAGACAAACAGTGAACGAGCTTTATTTGTACGTTTTGTTGTTCTTCTTTTTTTGAAAACAATTATTTAATAGAAGAGAGAAATATTACAAAAATAATATGAGCAATTAGTATATCAAAGAGTAATTAAAAAAATGCGCCATTAAAACCCACGATTTTCCTCAAACCTGGCAAATTGAATGCGTTATATATATGCTTTACTTCGAGATGAACCATAATAAAACGTTCGATGTATATCTGAGGAAGTCTGCCCGAACGTGGCCGCTTTTGTGATATATCTTGATATTGTCAAGGTATCACAAAAGTAGCCACATTCGGCGAATTTCCCCATCTCACTGGCTCAGTTCCTCTCAATTTGTGTACTCAATACCTATACAAAACTGTATTTCGATTAATCTACTATTGGTGCTCTTCCATATATGTATATATAGCTCGAACAACATGCTTTTATTCTTGATATTCTCATCTAAAATATTTTATTTAATTGGTAATGGATAATCTATTCTTTTTAATAAAATCTATAAAAGCTTTGCACTTTCTGTGTTGATAATGTGACAATTCGAGAGAATCAGAAATTTATTGTTTTAGAAGTAATGTTAAAATTGATAAATTTCGTTCCTATAGTTTCTCTCAGAAATTGCTCAGCAGTAACTTAATTAAATTTTTACTGCAGAGCTTTATTTGTGTGTTATTTATTCATCTTCGGCATTTTTGAAGTTGCTCGTATATTTGAAATTATATCCGTCACTTTTCTTTGAACTATGTTATTTAAGTATTAAATGATTGTTGCAGAAAGTCTTATTTTGTAAAAGATTATTGCATCGGATAAGAGTCTGCATGAAGCTATGTAACAGTTCAACGGGTTGAATTATTGAAAAAAAGGCCAGCTTCACACCCACATAAACAGAGAAGAAAAAAACGGCAAAAGGCAACATGTTTAAGCGAACTGGTTGATTTATTAAAAATGATTTCGCCTTAGAATTCGAACGGTAAAGTAAAGGTAACAAGTGGCTTGTCGCGAGCGGCATGTGAACAGCGTGCCGGTGGCTAGGACGAAGAAAATCGGTGAGGGCGATTTTATATAGAAGTACTAATTCCGTCACGTATTGCAGTACGTAGGGTACGCATAAACACTGCCATTCTCGTGAACCAAATCAACGACTTATAGACAGGGAGATGACAATGCTATGACACTTACAACTGAATGTGAAACTGTCACCTCATGGTTCAACGGTGGTCCTCAATCCGCATATTAAGGCACTGTTCTCATACCTCCACAGTGACAGTTCGGGAGCGCTATACAACGCCCACAAGGCCAAAATAAGAAGAAAAAGACCTCATGGTACAAAAATCGTTAGTTCGTTTTACGAATTTGGTAGCATCTGGGAATTACCTACCTACCACGGTACGTGACGAGTTCAGTAATTCTATGTAGAATCGCCCTGAAGAAATAAAGATATTGAGATATAGCACTTCGCAGGTAGCTGTCACTAGTTCACATATAAATTCACATATAAATAACAAAAAAGCCGGGCATCTGCCGAAAAAACCTCATTTCAAGTTTTTTTACGCAATAAATCATTATTCTTACAATTTCTTTATACCAAAACATTATTCAAAAATTACACAAGAATAATTTCATTTATATTATATATTTCATGTGAACAAAAGTTATTACACATATAACAACATATGAAACAAAAATTAGTAAAAAAAAATGAATCAACCAAAGAAAAATAATTTGAGACCAGCCAGTCAAGCGGAAATTTTACGAGCTCATCAAAGAGATAATGATTTTATTTCTCAAATGAGTGAATCAATGACAGATTTATTGCATCGATACAATTTACAAAGAAGATTTTTTTGCTATTTCAAATCAGAAATACCAGCAAAACTACTGTATTTCATTGTTACTTCTGGTTTGGGAAATCAAACACTTGGGGAAGAATATACTGGCATAGTTCAAGCTAATTTAAACAACCGTACTATTCCTTCACTCATGGTTATAGAGGAAATTCAATAACACTTTGTTCAATTTTAATTTACTCAGTACTAAATGGTTTTCATTTTCAGACAAGAATACTAGCTGCTATCCTTGAATGTTTTGGAGAACAAATGCTGCTAAAATTATTAGATAAATTACAATATAAAATAAATAAGAGTGATAATGAATTAACTCCAAGAGCAAAGTTTTTTCTAAACATTGTTCTTAATAGAACTCGAACAATCATACCTATTTTAATTTTAGTCCATCGAGGCTTATTTTATCTTTATGGGAGGTATTATAGTATTGGAAGAAGATTTGCTGGAATTGATTATATCAAGGTAGTTACATACTTTTATTTTATTCATGTGTTCATTTAAAAGTGAATTATTTTAAAGTAGAGATTCTTTTTCAAATCAATAGGTTTATGGTCCTCGACCTCATAGCAGTGTGAGCTGGGGTTTAAGAATTTTGGGTTGTGTTACAATTGCTCAGTGTTTATTTCATCTTTGGCAGTCAAAAAATTCTATTGATGATATAGTCATTCATGAAAAAGAGTTGGATGGCACAATTTCTACTAATTGCCAATTGTGTTTAGAAAAGATTCCTAATGCCACAACTCCATGCGGCCATTTATTTTGTTGGACTTGTCTATCTGAATGGGTTAGAGCTAGAAACCGTTGTCCTCTTTGCAGAGAAAGTGTAACTTCATCACGAATCATTCCCTTGATGAATATGTAAATTTATGTATTATAGGATTGGCCTAGTAAAATAATAAAAAAACTTTTGGATCATGGGCTGATAGTTACCCTGCTCATTTAAAGGGATAATAGTAATTGTATATAAAGTTAAAAGTATTTTTTTGTAGTCATGAAGTAAACAATAATCCATTACTTTAAATGAAATAAATTTTATAGATTTAAAGCTTTTTCTCTTTTTAGAAAATTCAATTTAAATATAAAATGGAAAACAATCTGCACTAAAAATGTATGATAAACAAAAAAAGAAAAGGGTTTAACTAAGCAAGTGTAAAAAATTGACTGGAAATGTACAAAAATATTAATCTTTATTTATGTTAGCATTATAACAAAAAAATTTTTTTGAAGATTCCTACCAATCGATATTTTTTACTATTTCTTTCTATTAAAAATAGTACACAGTAAATTTCATTTCATTAAGAAGATTCAGATTCCCATAATGAATAATTTTTTCTAAATAATTTGACGCTTTACATACAATCTGAAAAACTTTAAAAATTGTATGACTAATTTATCTTGAAAACATTTGAATTATTAATTATACAGCACGATTAAAATTGTTAATAATCAAAATAATTTTCAGGTCGTAAAATAAAAACTTTTTTAATTATTATTTTGATTGTAATAGTAGGTACTAAGAATAGTTAGGTTTGAAAGATATACTTAACACTCTTTATTCCGTAATTATAACACATTTGCATTTTCCACTATTTGACATAATTAGATTTTGAAAGATTAAACGATTTTTTTATGAATCACAGTGGATAATATTTAAAAATACTTTTAAGAAATAGTTTTATCAAACATAGAATCATAAAAAATAGTTTTTTACGTATCTTTCTTAAGCCTATTTATAATATAAAAGCATCAACATAAAAATAAATCATCTCTTTCGTTTCTGTGCAGGTATTTTTTGCTTATTCGGGTAACGAATCTTTAATTACTTAAAACCTGACTTTTAAAAATACATCTGCACAAATTATTATGAGCTAGCTTTACTATAAAATTATTTTTAATCATCACCACAAACTTATCACTAAACTGCATATATCCAATCCAAACCAAACTATCCTTTAGTTTTACAATTATTAAAATAAATAAGATTAAATTAATAAAGTACAATTGCACGTGTTATTTCTTAGAAAAGAGAGTCTGTTGATTCTGGATAGGATGCGGTGGGGTCAAAATACAATTTTTTTAAATTAGTAGTTGATCGTCTTCAAACGAAAATTGTAGTCATTAGTCAAAGGTCACAGGTCACAGCGATGTACGTTGTGATGTGAATAAAACAAATTTTTCGGCAACATTTTCCAAAAGTGAAGACAAGCCAGTTGATTCTGAATTGTTCTTCATTTGAAGACCAACTGTTTGAGTGTAAACCGTGTAAAACATTTGCCGCAGGTTTTCCAGACGAATTTGACGTTTTGTCGGGGGCCTGTCAAAAAATTCGAGATGATACATTGGCATGAGTAAAATAAGAAAAACATAGCTTTTATATAATTTTATTTCTACATACGGTGAAGGGAAATTATCTTCTTCAACGAGGGTGGTGCTAGATTCATTATTAGCTTGGCTAGCTGTTGCTGCATCTCTACCAAATGCCTGACTACTGCAAGCTGTATCTGCATTGGAGTGAAGACTGCCAGTAGCGCTAATCATCTGCCACGACCCGTTCGATGAGGAAGACTCGTTCCTTTGACGTAAACGACCTTGAACAGAAGGTACAGCTACCGGAGATGTCCGCTTGTTGGATGATGGCAATGGCGAACGAGAACCAGTTGAATTTTCTTTATTTTGTGATGAATAGTAATTCGCCCATGATGTTGTAACATTACTAGAATTAATTAATGATATAAAATAGATGAAAAAGTTAAGATGAATAAAATTTAAAATTAAAATAATTATTCACCCATTGGTCGCTACATCCTCTAGACCATCGACGGCCGTACAATGGAACACTGGTGGATTGTTATCCTGACTATCTCTACTGTTAAAACTATTCTGACTATTGTTAGAACAACAACTGTTCAGGCTTAAATTTGAACTGACTGCAATTAATGACGGTGCCGCAGCATCAGTATCAAACATTGCATTGTCAAGTTGACAATCACTGTCATTTCGAACTGTATGTTTGCTACCGAGCCTCTTATTCACACTGAATTCGTCTTCACCAATGTACTTCAGGAAATAGAAACAAAAATAAAATATTTCTTCGTGTTTAGATAAACGATCGTTGAGATCGTGTCCAAAAAGCATCCAGTCATATGCAACTGTGAAGTACAATAATTGCTGAGCATTCAAAGAAGTATGAATCATTCCATCAGCCCATAAACTTATACGAAGTAGTGAAATAAAAAGGGGTGTGCGGTCCCAGCCTAAAATTGAATGAAGTGTACATTTATCATGAGCTATCCAAGAATACATTCAATTTTAAATATAAATTAGTATTGCTACAAAATATAATATTCTTATGTAAATGAAAATGAAAAAGACAGTGGGAGATGATAAAATTCTCATCAATCATTTTAGTAAAAATATGATAAACAATTATACCTGATATACAATGGATAAGCATTCCATTGCTGCTATCATTAAGATATCTAAGTATGAGTTTTAGATAATTTTTTGTAAGACTTATCAAGTCCCAATGTTGGTATAATTCCCAGTTGATGTGAAGCTGCGTGGATATTGGATCATCTGGTATACCAATCTCTGCATCAACATGTGTTTGATTCCAGTCATAAACTAAACCATTGCCTGCATAATCATTCCCACGAAATTCTTTGAAGAATTCGCAGCCTGGATATGGAAGAGATACTATTGTAAACTCTGAATATCTTTGTTCTTTGTCTACTTTTTCAGAAGATGTAACGCTGAAACATAAGTATTGAATATTTTTTATCACAAAAATATTTAATTTTTCATGGTAACCGAAGGAATGATTTGTGCTACTTACTTTAGACCAAATTTAACTTTTTTTTTTTCAACCATAAAATCTACAATGGTTCCAACATGAAGAGCCTTTAGAAGTTTTATATCTCGTTTTCTGTACTTATCAAAGAGTTGCATTTCACTCATTGGAGAGCTTGCGGCATCATCAACTTCATTACTTTTATCTACTTCTTCAGGATTTGGAAAAAAATACTCATACCCTGATCGACCATAAATCTCAGGACCACCTGAGAGTGTTGCAGACCTGCACACATTACGTCCTTTGTATAAAATTACTGGAAGTGGGAACCTTTTACGACACCTAGCTGTTTTTGCACTTGTCATAATAGTCTAGAAAATGGAAATAGAATAGTTACATTTAAACTTCTCAAAAAAATGTTTATTTAAACAAATAAATCAAAAAATTTTATATTGTAACCTTAAGTTTAGAAGGGTCGTGGTTACTTTCATATATAGTTTCTGTTGTACGTTGTATTGGTGGTGGTGTATCACAGTTATTTAAACTATGTTGTTTTTCATATTCCAAAATTATTAAATGACTGGGATAATGGTCACTCAAATCTCCATTTTTATTACTTATTATTGTATGAGTATAATCCAAATCTGCTAAAAGTATGCACCTCTGCATAATAGCTTGACTCTTTGTGTTAAGAATTATAAATTTGATTTAATTATAGGAGTAGATTTTAAAAATAAATAAATGAATCAAAAATATTTTATGTACATACGGTACTATCAGCATTCTTGGCTTGATACGTATTTTTGGAAAAATAGTGAATAAGTTCTTGAAGATCTTTAATTGTTATGTCAGTCATTTTTTAATGAATGCTTCAATGGAACTGACAGTTGAAGATCCAATGCATAAAATGTAACTGTACAGCTATACAATATCAGTTTAAATAAATTACAGGTACTGATCAATGACCTGCTTGTAATTCACACATTACACTTTCTTACATACAATTGTATTAATTGTATTGTAAATCTATGTTAACACGTTATAAACACTTCCTGATTTTACAAAATATTTACAATTGTTTATTTTAGTTTCATCTCCTTCAAACAGTTTCTATTGCTGGAATGAAAACATTCAATATATTAATTCATTGTATCAATCGAAATTCTTGCTTATAATCTAACACGTTCGAGTAAACACAAAGTTCGCGCAGTTTAACGATTATTATTTTGATTTAATCGACATGATCTTGACATATAATGAATAAAATGAGCAAATGTCAAGCCCAAGATAGCGAGCGAGAGAGAGAGAGAGAGAGAGAGAGAGAGAGAGAGAGAGAGAGAGAGAAGGAGGGAGGGAGAGAGATAGAGAAAGAACATAAAAACGATGGAGAAAAACAAACTATGTTACTGAACCAAAAGTAAAATATTAAGGTAATCTCGTAAATAATACGATCACTGAATCAGAAAATAGATGTTATCATAGCTATCGTAGACGCACTTGACTCATTTTCTATTTTTCCGCGGCCAAAGCGCAAGGTGTGTAGGCATGCACTAAGCGAATACTCTCGCCCATAGAAAGTAGCTAAGGCGAATTATTAAAAATGCCATTGTTAGGATTTTCTTAGTTTCTTTTTACGTACGCGTGAATCAGATCATGCATATGAAAAAAGTCGTACACAACGCTCGTCATCCTGAGCGATTGTCGTGGCCGCAGCTGCTTCTGTGTAGTACGATGCGTAGTAGTTGATCGCGGAAGTACTCATCATCACAGGCACATAGTGATATTGCTCTCTGGCGAAATTTTTCGCATGCGTATGTGGAATGCACATAACCTCATCGGGGGCACGTGCGCCTCGGCCCGTAGACGTTGTCTAGCGACTTCTCGGTCGGAAAACTTTATTTTCACATGAGCCTTGGAAATCGAACAGAGTTCACTTGGTCCTCACTTTTCGAGCTCTCGCGCGTACATACTTTGAAGCCCGAATGTAATATTAGAAGTTAGTGCCTGGGCCAACGTATATCGCGTGGTGTATGCAGCGCAGTGCAGTTGTATCAAGCCTGCAGATATACATGTATGTACGTATAGGCCACATTTATGCAGAATCGAGGACTGCGAAGTTTTGCGCGACGAATAGGGTAGGGTAGGTAAAGAGAGCTCGAGTGAGAGAGAGAGAGAGAGAGAGAGAGAAAGAACAAGATGAGGCGTCTGTTACTTGACTCGGGCTGGGAGTTTCTATATGCACGCCCAGGTATACATGTATGAGTGCAGCTGTACATTTTTACTGAATTTATAGCAACTGTTTGGGAGGAAGAATTTTCAATGGATTTATTGAGAAAATTTTGTAAAATTTTGTTATCTGCAATTAACGATTTTTCTTTTCTAATATTTTACATACATGATAATATTAAAATTGGCAGCAAATGCGAATAAATTGATGTTTTATTTCAATAATATTTGCAAAAATGAAAATTAGCTTGCAGCTTACTTATATAGTAGAAATAAAAAAAATCTGTATGATGGTTTAATTTTTAAGCGACACCAGCTGCTCTTCAATGTCTTCGATATTTTTCATGGCATTTTTCAAGGACGAAAATCTGCTCTCCGAGTCTGCGATCTTATGCTCGACGATGACTTTTTGCACCTGCACTGACTTTTCCATTAGTTCGATCAGATCAATAATCGACGGTGTCAATTTTGACGACGAGTGATTTTCCATAACTTGTGAATCAGAATTAATTTGCTTACATTCCGTAATTTTCGTCGTTTCGTGATCAACATCCTGATTATTTTTCAAATCGTTATGATGGCTCAAAATTTGACCGATGGATTCCTCCAATTGCCCGATCCTTTCGCTATTCTTCGCTAGCTCATCGTGTATGGTCGTTGAAAGATCTTTCAATTTTTCCATTTTCATGACTGATTCGATGAGAGACTGCAGCTGCTCCTCCTTTTGGGCATTGGCGTTGCACTGCTTCTTGTCGGCTTCCTCGAGCTTTTGAACGACTCGCTCAATTTCCCGATACAATTCTGATATGTTTTCCGTTTCTTTGTCAGTATGCATGTTAGTCGATTGTAGAGTTCCGTTTTGTTTGCACATTTCCAGCTCGCCTTCGAGCTTCGAAAGCTTCTCCGCTACGATTTCCAATTGATTTTGCAGTGTGCTGTAGTAGTGTCGATCTTCGACGATGATTTTCAAATCTCTGTTTTGTTTGGCTGCCTTCACTGACTCGTCTTCGATGATTTTTCCCTCTAACGTTATCAAATTGATACTGTGATTTTTCACCACGATTTCCAGCTCTTTAATTTTTGCCTCGAGATTGACGATCTTTTCGTATAAATCGTTGTTTTGATCGAGCGCCTCGTAGTCTTGATCGTCGCAGATTATAGACGCACTTTCGGAGCATTCCGAGATCGAAGTTCTACTGCCGTTAATTTTTCTGACTCTTTCTTCAACGCGACTCAATCTAGTGAGCGACTTTTTTATTTCCACTTCGAGCCTGGAAAAGTCTTGCATCGTAGTGTTCGTTTGTAGCAGTATGGTTTTCTGCGATACTGTACGCTCCAAAGCTTGATCTTCAATTTTTTTTTCCAGCGCAATTATTTTTTGAGTCATAGCCTCGAACAGCTCGCTTTGTAGTTCGTTCCATTTTAAATTTCTCTTCTCCACTTCGATCAGCGCCTTGTCTTGATCTTTAATTTTTTTCTCTAAAACAGCGATTGTCGTTGGTTTAGGTGGTAGTTTCAATACTTTTTTGGCTGTCTCATTCTTCAAATTTTTGTTACTGTCTGCAACTTGTATCGGTTCATTAACTACTATTGCATTGCATGTCTGAGGATCTTCATCGGCAACGGGATTTTTCAAGATTTCGTTCTCTGGATCATCATCGAGCTCAAATGTAACTTGTTTTTTTATCGGTTTATCATTTGTTTCGATTTCGTCGCAGGATTTGATAATCGCATCATTTCCGGTCTCTTTTTTGTCTTCAAATGATTGATTATTCAATTCACATTCTGGTTTTGCTTGAGATTTTTGGCAGATATTTATTTCGTCGGGAATTAATTTTATATCATCTGTGCCATCTTTGCCGATTTTAATATTGGTTTTATTATTTTCTTCTGTACTTGTATCAACTTTCATTACTTCGATATTTTCTTCAGATTTAAACTCGTTTAAAATAACATCGTCGGGGGTAACTTTTGTACTTTCAATGTTTTTATCTGCTTCGTGGTTATATTCAATAATATTTGCGACACATGTCTCTTCCACTTTTTTCAGATTGTCACTGTCATCTGTTAATGTTTCCAATGGTATTTCAAGCACTGAATCTTTTTCAAAATTCTCTTCGATTTTTTGATTTTCGATTACTTGTTCCAATTCTTTCGATTTTTCACCAATTTCTAAGTCTTCCTTGCTTTCCTCAATCTTTTCGTCAATAGTATTTATGGAATGTAGTTCTTTCCAAGGTCTGCACATTTTAAATTCTTCTTTATAATCTTCACTTTTTTCTTCTAGTTCCTCCCACGGTTTACAAAGTTTTATCGCTTCTTCGGTTTCTTTTTCTTTTTCTTGAGTCTCATTTTGTTGGTGTGATTCTACGGATGAATCGGTAATTTTTATCTCATCCTCCTTCTCTTCAATGGATGCCTCTGAAATGCCAGAATCCCGCTTTTCTCTCAACTTGTCTCCCATCTTATCACCTTCCATACAGATTTGCTGTTTTTCATCTACTTGAATTTCATTTTCTATGAACGTCAAGTTTGGATCGACTTTTACATGACTAGTAATTATAATATCACTGGGCTCAATCGCGAAATGCTCGTTTTTGGTTTGCTCTGGTATTTTATCGCAAGTGCCGACGGTCTCGTCGTTATCGACGGTATCTTGCCCCTGAGAATTTCGAGCATCCGTTGTGACTTGTTTTAATTCTTCGATTTGCTGCGAATTCACAAGAATGATATTTTTTTCCTCGTCACTGACGAAACTTTCTTGATCGGTAATGTCCGATTCGATGCAGGAAGGGGCCTCTCGCTTTGCCCAAGCGGGCAGTTCCGAGTCATTCGGTTCAAACACGGTCTGTTCCGATTGCTGCCGATCGACGTTGATCTGGGTCTCGTGGGACTTGCCGTCGAGAGAGTCAATCTCCACCGAACTGAACTCATCGTCACTGTCACTGTCACTAGTCTCGTAATCTTTGTTACGATCCTCCTGGCTCTCGGCGTTCAATTCCTTTCTATCCGGAAGCGAGGGAACGGGTTGAAGGGAATCGCTCGAATCTTCGATTCCGTTTCCCGCGCTCTCCTTGGTCACGTTGTTGTTGAACTCGTGTCGGTTTTCAATATCCAGCTCGGTCACAGCCATCATCATTCCGTAATGCACCCGGCCGTGCAATTTTTCCTGCTTAATTTGTCCGTCGGGTAGTTTGTCGATTTGCATCCAGGCCTGTGCGTGAGCGCTCGTCCCAACAGGCATCAACAATCGGCCTCCCACTGCCAATTGGTCGATAAGCTGAAAACGTATTAAATTTCAGCAGACTGCAAGGTGAAAAAATATGCCGATCTCTACGTACGTTTTGTGGAATTTCAGCTGCAGCTACCCCAACGTGAATGATGTCGTACGGACCCATGCAAGCATAACCCAGTTTACCGTCACCATCTAAATGAAAAATAATATCGAGTTAAAAATATTCAATCCAGAGATGGGTATTTTTCGTTTATTTTGTGTTTTTTTTCGAAAGTGATATAATGCCAATTAATTAAATAATAATCGAATTGAATGCCGCTAGCGAGTTGTATATGAAAAATCTTCGATAGCAGCGCGCAGGTTTGTGTACACTTACAAAGTAGCTTGATGCGGTCTTGTTTCAAGAGAGCAGGGTAATTATTTGAGATGATCTGTTTGGCTTTATCGCGGAGTTCTGGTATACACTCGATAGCTACCACGCAGCCTTTCGATCCGAGAGCGAGAGCCATGCAAGCGGTCACGTATCCAGTTCCTGAGCCGATGTCTAGTGCTCTCTTGCCGTTCTTCAGCTGCTCGCTGAACGCCTCGAGGGTCCGGGCATGCTGACAACACCACATAAAACATTTATTATTATTTTTTCAGCGTATTACGGCTTCGTTATATATTTGGCGAATCGCGTCGATTTAGCTCATGTGTACTTTAATTACCATGTGCGGGGCACTGATGGTTTTGCCGTGGCCTATTTGTTGAGGTGCATCGATGTAAGCTTTCGATCGGTCGATCATAAATTCTCGTCGGTCGATCGTCTTCATCGTGTTGAATACGAGATTCGATTCAACTACTCCGGAAACTGAAATAAATTACACACTCGAATGAATCGGCAGAATTGACATTAATAATTGGATTTTTTATAGATCACCAAGCATACTACTGAATTTAATTCGCGTCAATAGCTTTTTGATACGAAAATCGTGACGTCGCTTCTCGTACGCATTACCGGGCGTTAACAATAAACGAAAAATTAAATGGCTCTCGTGGAAAAAATGTTCGATCCATCGAGAAAATCGTTACCTTTTAAGTACTGGACTAATTCCAGATTCGTCGTTCCGTGAAAGCCCATCATCCTGAGAGAACGAGCGAACTTGTCTGCTCACCTGTCGCGAATTCGGACGATACGCGCACTCGCGGGGCTCGCGCGTTGCTCGATAACTTGTGACCGAAAAAAATCCGTGTCCGAATGAGACTAGGCCTACTCGTTAAGGCTAAATATTTAAAAAATGCGTTTTATCGCGCGGCTTATTTTATTTATCGTCGGCTTCGACAGCGTGGGCGTACGTAATGGTACGTACAGTTGACGCACACGCACACAGTCTGGCGCGTCTGTTTTCCAACTCCTCGAGTACGCGAGTATTGAATGTATCTTTCGAGTCGATTGATTTCTTATGGCTCAGTAATGCACGTGCGGTTATCAGTCAAAGATGGCTTTTGCCGAGGGAATATCAATCGGGCTCACACCAAAGTATGTAGGTGGCAATTCACACATGTACGTAGAGAAGCCAACGAGGCAAAGAGAGAAGGAGAATCTTGATTTGTCACGATAGTAACATACCTATATGCCAAGTGCGATAGCCACTTTATTATCATTCGAACCGACGTACAAGTTGTGTGACATTCCCATTCATCATTGGCACCTACATATTTTAAAAAATGACTCTGAAATATATAACCAATTTTAAATATAATTTTTTCCAAATATTTTTACTCTTCTCCGATAAAGAACTCTTCAAGAGTTATAATTGCGTTAGAGAGTTTTAAAAACGCTCCTTTTTAGCCATTTGATCGAAATAGACTCAATGACTGACACAATTATTTCATACATCGAATATTCCTTCATTCCGCTAATCGTGTACATTTTTATTGTAAAAATGTTAAAACACGTCAAGCTATAAACAAACACAAAAAACAAACTCTCAGTTTCGAGCTCCAAACAAAGGGAATGGATAAACTATTTTCCATTGACCGAAGAGCGCGTGATTTCTCATTTTTCTTCTGAGAATCTACATAATTTTTTGTCCGCGATCTTTCAGTTGAAATTCAGAATTCTCCGACTTTTTCCAAGTATTTCCAAGAGCAAACGATCATTACCATACGATGCGAATAATTTGTAAAAAATGAAGCATAACTTAAAAGCAGAGGAAAAGTAACAGTTTACTCCGAGCTTTTCATTGTTAGCAGTAGTGCGGCATGTTCTCACAGATTATGTGTAGTATTTTCGAAAAACGATTAGCGCAGAATTAACGAGAAAAGTGATAATCTCGCGATAAGTATTGCTTTGATACTGTTAAATTAATACGATGTGGCAATTTGTGTTTATCATTTGTATATTATCTATAATCTTCAATTTGTGGGTCAGGCTTAAAAGATCTGGCAAATTAGCTAATGCCATTCCAGGCCCAGCACCATATCCCTTCTTTGGAAACATGCTATCTTTTAATATTTCCTCGAATCGTAATAATAATTTTTTTGATTATGCACTATCATTTTTTTTTTACTCAGATGCAAATAAAAATTTCAGAAAAGTTATGGAATGTCATGAGGGAGATTTCTCGAAATTATTATCCAATTACAAGAGTTTGGATGACAACACAAGCTTTATTTTCTATACGCCATCCAGCTGATTTAGAGGTAACTTGAGATGAATTTCGTATTAAATGTATTCATTTATAATTGAGCAATATCCTTTTAGATTTTGCTTACCAACCGCAGTACGATAACCAAGGGTTTTGTTTATGAGTTGTTAAAACCGTGGCTGAGGACTGGTATTTTGACGAGTACAGGTAAAGCTCTCAAATGAATATTCCATGTATATTCAAGTTTATCCATTGTCATTGTTTATTCAAACATTTTTAGGTAAAAAATGGCACGAAAGACGTAAAATTTTAACTCAAGCTTTTCATTTTAATATATTAAAAAAGCACATGAATATTATGAGCGAACAAGCGATAAACCTCGTTGAATATCTCAAGAAACAAGGAAACGAATCAATTCAAAATTTCTTGCCTCTCGCATCAAATTTCACCTTGAATGTTATCTGCGGTAAGGTATTACTGTTTTGAATCCAAACGATAATATATCAGCTATTGAATTTTTTCATTCGGCAGAAACATCGATGGGCGTAGATTTAAATAAATTGGATATAGAAGATGTCGAAAAGTATCGAAAAGCAATCTATGACATAGGCCGAATAGTCGTCTGGAGGTAGGCTTTATTTATACAATAGCATTACCTCATATTCATAGAGTATGATTTTTAAGGATGCCAAGACCCTTCATAACAGATTGGATGTTGAAAATGGTTCCCTTTTTACAAATGAATCGTGATTATAACAGAGCACTTACACACGTGCATCAGTTTACCGACAAAGTACGTGAAGTTTTACAAATAGTTAATTTTTATTTTCTCATTAAAATTTAAAATTATTTAAAAAAGGTTGTTCAAGAAAGAAGGGAGTATCATAAGAAAACAAATTATAAATATTTAGAAGATCTCACCGATGATCCCGACTTGACTGCCGATGATGTTTACACGGGTAAAGTTTGCATTATTTACCCAACGCTTTTTGTACACGAGATGAAACTTTAAAGTTATTTTTCTCTGCCCAGGACGACGCAGAAAACTAGCTTTGATCGATCTTTTGTTCTTAGCCGAAAAAAATGGATTAATTGACAATGCAGGGATAATCGAGGAAGTAGATAATTTCATGTTTGCGGTAAGTACGGCGTCTTTCGCCGGGAATTGATAAGTAAAATTAGATGTCACGAATTTTGCCTACTTAACAGGGTCACGACACGTCGGCAACGACGATGACATTCGCGTCGATGCTATTCGCAGAACACCCCGACGTTCAGGTAAACTTTATACTTTAAGCGGTTTTTTGGTCGTTTTTTCTAAAACTGGCGAGTGATTTAATTCAGAGCAAAGCGAGAGCCGAGGTGACCAAAGTCCTTGACAAAAGCAACGGTAATATAGGCGTGCAAGAACTGAAGGAATTACAGTATCTCGAGCAATGCATCAAAGAAACTTTGAGACTGTATCCTCCGGTCTCGACGATTTTCCGCCACACCAGCAGCGAGTTGCAACTGAGTGAGTTGCAACTGACTTTATTAATGTATTTTCACGTACATAACTAACATGATTACGTTATTTTCAGAGCACGCACTGATACCGCGTAAATCTCATGTTATCTGTCATCTGTACGACTGTCACAGAGATCCTCATTTCTGGGACAACCCGGATAAATATGATCCGGATAACTTTTCACTGGAAAACACGCAGAAACGACATCCCTATGCATATTTGCCATTTAGCGCGGGGCCGCGAAATTGCCTTGGTAATGAATCTTTTGATCACTGTAGTTTTCATACAAATAACAAGAACGAAATGAACGTTTCAGGTCAAAAATTCGCTATGATCGAAATGAAAACATTTATGGCACAAATTTTGTACAATTTCCACATAGAACCCGTTGATTTATTGAAAGATGTATCATTTCAAGCTGACATCGTTCTACGACCAATGAAAGCTGCGCACATAAAATTTGTACTAATCGACCAAGAAAAACATTTGAAAAAAAATTTGTAAAAAAATCGGGAGTAATTTCTCATATTGCGTGATGTATTTACTTTTTTTCGAATCCCAAAATTGTAACCTTAAACAATATAAAAATTATTTATAAATTAATATGCACGTTTGTTATGATTTTTGTTCGATGCACGTTTACTAAAATCCGCTAGTGTTCATTATAACTACGTCAAATTTGAATGCCAGCTTTGAATAAATCAGCCGTTAACGACTAGGCTCGACAAGATGCACATCGTTAAAAGAAAATTGAACTTCATTACAATATACACGTAGCGCATGTGTACTTTGAGTTGTTTAGGCCTTTCTGCTCAAGTGGGTAATTGAGCCACTTAACTCGTACCTATGCGGCTGCATTGTCTCTAAGCAGTCGCAGTTTTACTTTAGAAGTTCGGTTGGCAACGAATCCGAGCAAAAAGTGGATGTGCTTGTTCGTCAAATTAATTTTTCCGTAAACAGCACGAGCTTGGCCATAAGTACGACGTGGTCATGTTCGAGCGAAGCTTTATTCTCGCTCTTTCGACGATTTATTTGTTCTCGTTGGCGGCTCGAGCTGAAATCGTCTGGGGCTCTTTCTTTCCGAAAGACAGCGACACTATTTTATACGCAGCCTGCCAAGACGAAGACGTTGACAAAAATTTACGCAGTTGAGTATTGAAATCGTTGCATGGCAAAATAAAATAGAACAAAGCAAATTAAAAAAATGTCGTTTGAAATCAGGATGTAACGTAACGGTCGAGACAAAGATATTTTCCTTACAAGCCGAGTACAAGGATACCTGCTCGATAATCATCGAAGACAAGGTCTATCGCAGCATCAACGTATTCCATTTGGAAAATCATTACGATCTGTTTCCGCTGAGCGTAGATCGAGTCCTCTTCAATTGGATAGAGAAAGGCAGCGAGGACAAGGTGCACGAGCTCAAGTACAAAATCGTCGATATGCTCGGCTGCAACAGGAGCATCGAGCGAAGCTTCCTCTTCGACGAGGAGCACTACTTCAGCAAAGTACCGGTGCTGTACGGCGAGCAGTTCGAGGTGTTCGTCGGCAACTCGAGCGTCTGCGGCCGCCAAGTGGACGAGTGCCTCGTGGCCCTGGACTGGGAGGGTCAGCAGTCGAGCGAGCCCAAGCCGTTCGCGTCCGTCGAGAGGAGCTCGCTCAGCAGCAGGTCCGTGCCGGTGGTCAGCTTCCAGGCGGCCAAGGGCTTCCACGTGCACAGGTTCGACTACGCGGACGAGCTGAGGCCGCAGCTGAAGCTGTCGTACGTCGACGCGGCCGGCACCTCGATCGACCTGGCGAGCCTGGCGACGAGCGTCGCCTCGGTCTATCCGCGCCTCTTCGACTCGGCCCACTCGAACGCCAACTACCTGTACGGCGTGTGCGCCAGCACCAAGGCCGAGGACTCGGACAAGTCGGTCGAGCTGCTCTGCGCGCAATTCGACCTGATAACGCCGCGACTGAGCCTGAGGCTGAAGCTGCCCGAGAGCTGGAGCTGGATGGCGATGCACAACGTGGCGCCCGGCGAGATCGCCCTGCTGCTGGGCAACTGCGACGCCCACGAGCTCTGCCGGGGCTATCGACTGCTCTGGCTCACGTCCGAGGGCAGGAAGGGCCGCACCTTGGTCAAGTCGGACTTTGCCATGAGATGCGCCCGGGACGGGATTCACGCGAGCCTGACCGAGCACGAGTTCGGCCTCTACTGCGTGCGCATCGTCTGCGTGCAGTATGACAACGAGGAGGAGGATCGCGTCGTCACGAGCCACCACAAGGACTGCATGGAGCGTTACGTGGCCCTCAATCCCTACCCGTCCCTCGACAAGCCCAAACTATTGTAACCAAGGCTCGAGCTCTTAAGCAATAAAATACTCTGTACTATGATAAATCGCGACCCTCTTTTCGGATCGTCTTTTTTATTGAATACTTTTGTCGGTTGGCTGGGCAAAAAAGCAGTGGATTTTATACAACAATTATCGGAGCGGTCCGGGCCTCAGGGTATCTTTCTGAAGGGCGGCCTCTTGCCCCTGATGGTGACGCGGAAGCGCATGTCCGTGTACCTGGGTATGGTGTAGCCGAGCGTGACGAAGGTGTGGCCGGGACCGCCGGCCACGATGGCCGCGTAAGCCCCGGCCTTGGCGATGTCCTTCACGTCGATCTGCGTCATGTGGTACTCGTTGTTGCCGACGTAGGTCTTGCTGTAGGTGAACACGTAGTCGGGCTTGCCCTGGAGGCTCTCCTCGCGCTGCTCGATCTCCTCGTCGCCGGCCAGCCGCCGGCCCACCAGGAAGCTGTTGTTCTGTATCTTCATGGTCGTGGGTATGGCGCACTGGCAGGGTGCTAAGCAACAGCAGCAGAAAAAGAGCGCCAAAAAGACAACGTCGAGGCCGAGCGGCCTCATTTCCGCCGCTTGTTTTCTATCTGTGGTACATAAATCGGCTGCGGTCATGCAAATTACAAAGTCGCGTCGAATCAATATTTGGCCGATATTACTCACGCTGGCTTGCGAGTGGCAGCGAACGGCGGCCTCGGTGCTGGAGAGATCGGCGCTGTTTGTCTCGCCTATCTGCCTTATCTCGAGTTATGCGCTCGCTCGCGGAGAAAGATCTTTGCGTAGCTGACTGCAGCGGTAGCCGCACTCTGAGCCAGCTATCTCTTCACTAAGAGCCTCTCACTCGCGCCTCTCGCCTGTCTCATAATGATCTTTCCATCTGAGATTTGACGAGAAGTAGGATGCGCGAAATTGTGCATTTAACCTAGTGAGTAAGCGCGATAAATCGCCTTCAATTTTCATGCATATGTACACTATAGTGTCATTATTTCGGACGCGCGCGCAGCAGTGCAGCTGCACTTGGACATGTGCACTTGGACATCTGTATGCAGCTATCTATAGCTAGTCGTAGTGCAGTGGTGCGCTTCCAAGGCAGCGCCATTCAACGATTGAAGCAAGCGACGGCCGAATCAAATGGCGATATAATTATTTTTGCGCAATTCGTATCCAAACGTCGTTTCAATTTATCGCTCGAGCATGTTTATTTTACAATTATAATACATTAACTCGAGATATATAATTTATACTTTGCGTTAGCACTTTTATCCGTCTAGAATCAATGTTTTTATTTTATCGATGTTCGATAGCAAAGCGAATAATTCTCATATATAGACGCGCTCGCATGTACGGGCCTCGTGCTCGTTAGAAAGTCGTCGATTCAAAAATAACTCTTATAAATTATGTCCTTATCTCGGCCCATCTGCTACCTAATAATAAAAAGTTTAGCCCGTAAATTATACATGGATTAGCGTGCTCGCATTTTTCAATTCGCAAGCAACAAAGTCTCTAATTGATTATCTTGCCCGCTGATCATTTGGAACTACAATAATCTACCAAAGCGAATGAATCTGAACAATAGTAATGGATTAATCTTCGTGTCAACAAGTAGATTATTGGGAGATTAAGCGGCTTGCGAATGGGGAATGTTGGTATTTTATCGATCGAGTAAGTCTTACAAACGTCTTTTTTGCAGGTAAGTGCACCAAACAGAAACGATAAGTTGCCGACTGCGACGATCAATTGGTAAAGATGAGCTCGTACGGTTCGTCCATTCGACGAAATATCACTTCATATGCACAATCAAAATATACGATGAAAATTCTCATATTACTTATAAATTACATTTTGTATTACTCTTTTTTTCAAGCGAAGATACGAGTTTTAATGAAAACCCCGCAAAAGAAGCAGTAAAAGAGACGAAAAGGTAAAAATTCGTCGATACAAGAGCAAATGGCAGAGAAAAGCGGGCTCGAGGAAATTTTCCGTCGGTCTGAGGTCGTTGTCGCGTGGGACGGGGTGTCGCTGTGTTGCGCGCCGGGACAGCGCCGCAGGGTCGAGCGCGCTCAAAAGTCATCGCTTCCGGTCACTGCAGTTTTGCGCTTGCATACATGTTCGCTTCATGTACATGCGCATACATTTATATGGGCGCTCCAGCGGCCTCAATATACATAAAGGCGGGGCAGGAGCTCGAGGATTTCTCGATGGATCCTAGCCGCGTAGCCAAGACGAATCTCGTTAAAAAATTTGCTTCCGTCTACATTCGGTTGTTTAGCTATGAAACAATGGTTTATTCTTCAAAGACGAGCTCGTACGGTCCGTGCGCTAATACAAATTCAGCCAAAGCAGAGCTGCGGTCGGGGTTGGTACGCATCGCGGATCGATGCACACCTGTACAAACGACGCTCGCGTAATAGTCTGCGGTGCGCGCAGAGATACAGTACCGGGGGCTGCAATTACTTCTTACGTTCGAGGATCGCATGGGTTCTTGGCGCAGGGCGCGCTTCATACACGCTACATCGAAATAGATCTCGTGCCGGCTTCTCTTCCCTGGATGGGACTCGCAAATAGTTGTTGCAGTCGCATAGTTATGCATCATCGGTTAGGTGTGCATGTATAGCTCGAGTCGAGCTCGAAGCTTTGGCTTGCCCTCGTCCACTAATAGATACTAATACAGAGACGCACGCTATTAATTGTATTAGCTCGAGTTGGGATTTGTCGCGCGAGGCTGCCTCGATTAGCCGAATATTTAAATTGCATGCGGCAAGTTGGAGACTGTCGCGACTCGCGAGCAATAAACATCGCAGCCGCGGGCGCGTTTCGAATGCTTTCGCCGATTCGCAGCGACGCGTGCATATACAATTCCTCGAAAATAAAACGTCTTCGAGACTGATGTATGCCGCGTCGAGGACGAGGAGGACGAGGGGGAGGCTATATACTAATTGTACGCTCTGTAAGGTATTTCTCTATTCTCTGTGGCGTGGAAATACGACGTTTAATTGCTTTTATCGCTCTGATCCTCTGCTGCTGCTGCTGCTGCTGCTGTGGATATGCAAATTTGGTTCGTTCTGCTGCTGCTGCTCTCTATACGTATGTACAATATATACGTGCTGCACACGACTGTAACAGTCTATTGCCAACGTGTAAAAGCTAATTGCCTACATATAGCTGTGTGCACCGATAATGCATATATATATGCGGCTTATTAGAGAAAAGATTTACTTTACCGAGACTCCGTCTAGCGTATGCATACCGCACACCTATATATATGTATAAATAAAGGAGTCCATTGGGCTTGTGCGGCCGAGCTAATTGTTATCGCGCTGATCTATTGGTCGTTTCGCCCATACATGACTAATGACTTTCTCGGAAATGGCCCATTCGATGCTCGATCCATGAGTTCTGGGTATCGAATGGCAAAAAGTCGAGACGCACCGCTGCCTGCGAGTGATTGATATTTTTTTCTACAACCTACACTTCATCTTTTTCTCGTAATTAAAAAGTATTTCGCTCGCTCGACATTTAGGCTGCGGACTCGAGTTATTTAAAGATATTTTATTATTTCTTGGAAAAGTTATTTTATTATCACGCTATGTAGAGTGTCGTTGACGATTTTTAGCAGCGCTCCTCGTGAACATATTCAAGTTTCTTCATTGTGTACATTCTCGCATGCAGCACACATTCCGTTGTAGAGAGCTTAGCGCAATCGCGACACACTTAAACTCATAACGTCGTCTCTGATTACATCTATAATTGTGTCGCGTTACGCCGCGCGTGTTGGCGAAGCAGTCCCAGAGCCGAAATCGAATCGATGATCTTGTTGCCGTAATATCCTGCGTCAATTAGATATAATATTACAACAAGCGCCGAGGCGTTTGTACAATGTTCTTTTTTGAATTCGTTCGCAACTCCCAAATCTAAGGCTCGTAACTGCGTTATCGCGATATCGTTTGCGCTTCGTCGAAAATTACATCCTGCCCGTTTTTGAATTAAAGAGAGAGAGAGAGAGAGAGAGAGAGAGAGAGAGAGAGAGAGAGAGAGAGAAAAGAAAAGAGAAGGCAGAAAGGAAATTGTAAGGAAGGTGGATGCGATGACTATAGACTTGCATCAAAGTTGCAATTCGCTCTCACCTGCAAGTTGGTAGAGTGCGCGGGGGCGCGCGGCAAATGTGCAAGGCCACAAAGTGCACCATCAAAAAGTTTGCAGTGGCAGCAGTTCTGCCTCTTTCTCTTTCTCTCCGATGTAGGCAAGAGGAGCAAAAGCGTATTCGGCTGTAGCGTCGTCGCATCGCCCTTGCCTAAAATTCGTTTTATCCGGAGCCTCGCGCGCGCCTCGAAAGTTACGTTCTATGCTCGTATATATGGTCTTGGCGCGTGCGGCGGAGGAAAATTTCCACCTAAAACCTACACGCTAGCTCTCTGAGTAAACACAACATTTACTGTGTAACAAGAGATCAAGCCTCTCTCTCTCTCTTGCAAGAACGGGGTGCACTTTTGCCTATACATACACGTGCACAGCGGCGCACATAGCAGCAGCCGAATTCTCATGCGTACATAATGCATACATGCACTTGCATGTACGTATATAGATATATACACGTGTGTGTGTGCCGTCTATGCACACATTTACTCAGCCAGAAAGAGAGAGAGAGAGAGACTAGCTTCCATATTGACTCTTGGAGGAAGTTTCTCTCCGCTCGGGTATAGATGTGTCCCTTGCCATGTATAGGAGAACTTTGCTTCGGAAGCTGGGCTCGGCTGCTGCGCTCAATGCGCTTATATACAGCCGCGCCATCAGTCGAGGGATATACATATAGCAGAGCGCGTTAACCCTGTAATGTATCCAAACGTATCGGAGTCTAGCTGCTGAATCGCGACCAAGCAACCAAATGATTTCCCGCGCGATATATTACCGCGACGCGAAAATGTATCCTTTCTCTGCTTTTTTCCCCTTTTTGCTCGCCATTTTTACTCGTATGTTTGTGCTTACTTTACGATGTATGTCTACGTATACGTATGTTGCAACTCGCGACGTATTTATTATATACAGCGAGGACGATGACGGGATATTTTCAGTCGCTCGCGACACAAAGATCACATGCTCGTCGTTCCCGGAGGACTGCACAAGAAGCGAGGACTAATCGCTATATGTGCTCAGCGTATAAGCGTACTAGAGACTCGTGTATCCTTGAGGCTCGTTACCCGAACTTGTGCGCAGCAAACTCTCAACTTTGTGTGTGTATGTTTGTGCGTGAGAGACTATGTCGACTTGTCATATGTGCGTTTATGTATACATAGCATACGTAGCAGGCAGCGAGAGAAGAAGAGACCACGCGATGTCTGTGTAGCTATAATAAAAATAAAGTCGCGTAGTTCGCAGCTTGTTATCTATGATAAATATATGCGCGAGCTTTCGAGTTGTGCAAAAGGCTCGCTCGCGTTCGAGTCGTTGTTGATGCTTGGAAACGAGTCGAGCGTTCTCGGCTCGGCTGTGTCGCGTACGCGACGTATATAAACAAGACATGTTGTCGGTGACGCATGCCCCAAGCTTGTGCGCGTTTAATCAAGTCTAAACGCTATCAACTTCCGATCGAGTTCGGCCTACGTCGCCACCACCGCAGCGGCAAAAAAAGCAAAGGATATCGGACTCTTTCGCGCGGACCGCAGCTACTTCACAGCGCCGTGTACGTTCGCCTCTGCGTTAATGGAATCAATTAGCGCTTCTGCTTCGTGCATACGTGCGCGTCCTTATTGAAAATGAACTAGAGCAACGTCGACGCATTTTACATGCGCTTGCTATATGTACGTCAT